AAAAAAAAAAAAAAAAAAAGTACTTTGGGCGGCGATGGATGGCAGCGGGCAAGAGTATGTGGCAAGTCTGAGTAGCTAGCCGAGACCAAAGAAAATAGAAAACGAATGCGGGAAAGTCTGTCCCATTCCGTTGCACCACTAGTTACATCAATGAAAGTGACTACATGCATATTATTTTCTTCACTTTCATAATTAGCAGCGCAGTATATAATCAAAGATTTTATCCACATTTTCTATAGTGTCTCTGAAAATTATTTTCAACGCTGAAAAGGCCCTTTCCACTAACACAGAGGTTATAGGAGCAAACTTGGTCACGTTTTTCATGCCCTTTCTCGAGGAAATTCCCCATCCTTCGCCACCAAAAATAGTACCAGTCGACCCCCATATCAAGTTATTGTTCATTTTTTTACGCTCCCTTCATTTGCACTGTATTTTATCCCTAAAGGTTCCTTTAGCACAGCTAATTTTCATTTAGGCGTCTTGCACCACTTGATCTGTCGCAGATTTTCGTTTGCTTTCCAGCTTGTCTATTGAGGGCAGGATTGAAAAAATATTATTTTGCTGGGTCGTATTTTGTCATCTTCGACTCTCCGGCAGTAGACTTTCGCCTCTCATGTCTTTCTTCGCCTGAACTGCGTATACGACGCGCCGCGGCGGGAAGTCTCAACCTGTCAACAGCTCATCTGCGTCAGGAACGGGTACAATTGCCTAAGAAGTGGGTGCTGATCAGAGACGAGCGTGAAACATCTTTATATTGACTTGCAGAACTCCGTATATTAGTTGTTGTTTTTTGTTTTTTGTGAGAAATTTCGGAGCGTAGTCGATTGCATATTCGATCAGAGAATATTCGCGTTTCGGTATAAATAAAAGTTAAAGTAAGAAATTAAAATATTATAATTCTTCAAAACTGTTTTAGGCAAATGGATATTAAAATTGGCATCAACCGCCTTTTTAGGACATTGTAGGCACTTACATGCTTTCAGTAATGAACTTTTTCACAATTCGTAAACACTCGCAATTCTTTTCCACCATCTCCTTAAGGAACTTAATAGGAATTTGTGCTAAAATCACAGGACAAGTACTATGACATTGTAGCTAAGCATATTTTTGAAATGCCGGACCGCCCAATAGGGGAATATTTTTTTAAATTGTTTCTTGATGCTATAAACCAATTTGAGATAGATTTGAAACATGCATTGTTATTTTGAAGTGATGGTGCAAAAGAATTGACATCACATGTACAAGCCCCTCTGGTAATCAGGAGAGGCAACCCACACGATCGGCCTTCACTCTTCACGAGTTGTCGCGCCAAAAATGATGGCTAATTGAAAATACAATTTGGTTTGACAATCTAATTGAAAATGTCACAATGTCGTCCTTTCACCACTCACTATCTTCATCATTTCGTCTCCCACACCCCCATAGGGGGTAACAACCCTGGATGGTAAAAATCGGATCTAGGTAAATGCTGATCCCATGATAAATTTGCACCTACCACCGAGAAAATGTGGCTGAGCCCCGGTAAATGCAGGATGCATGCACGCGTGGTCCAAGTCGGCCTATTTGCGAGCAAAAAAAAACAACATTTTATGTGGTATTTTATATTACGAAATGCCCCCTTTTTCCCCCTTAATTGTGGTAACCCTGCTTGCAGACCCTGGCGCACCGGGAGACGGGGCAGGAGCACGACGTGCTGGCGCTGAGCTCGGCGTGGCGCAAGCGGCTGGCGCTGCTGCTGGAGACGCTGGAGAACGAGGCGTCGGACGGCGAGATGGCCGCCATGATCTCGTTCGCCATCGCCTTCCCAGAGGGCTTCATGGCGCTTGTCGATACGTATGATGTTAAGAGGTATTCTAGGGCGCCTGCATGTGGGTCACAGGCACTGCTTTCTCAGTCAACTTGCCCTTTCATTTTTTTTTTGTCGTTCGAGTTGGGACCTCTGTTCATGTACTAAAACTTTTTGATTTTAACGGTTCCAATTCGTTGAGACCAACGAAGACTTTTCTTGTCAGTACTGTTTATTGAGAAAAATGGCAATTCTGTTCCTTTAAATAAGCAATCAACAGTATTGACAAGAAATTCCCTTTGAACACATCAGCTAATTGAAACCGTTGAAGTTAATACTTATGAAACAATCCTTTCATCACATTATGTTACTAAAACTTGTGTTTGTATGTGTACTGAATTTGCCCTGAGCTGGCGGGCGCTATGAATGTGAGCGTTGCGGGTGAGAAATTCGAAGGCGGAAGTCTTGTGAGTCGCTTTACCATACACCTAACACCTAACACTTGCACAGTAATGAGGCAGTCGAAGAATGAGGGTGGGACACCAAACTATAAATCCATGGATGTGGTAGTTAATACTGTCAACAGGTACTTTGCTAGAGATATCAAAATTTATGTAACCTTTTTATTCATAGGTAATTCCACTAGTGCTGTGTTGTTTATGAGAGAATTTCCAAGGCACTCCTGAAATTTCATGGGACTATTTCACATATGAAATTTGAATTTACTAAGCCTGTTAATTAATGCACATCATGCAAGTTAATCCGGTATCTGTATGTTTTTTCAGCATGTTTAATTACTACATGCATCAATCTCAGACCCTTACGTGCATGGCCACCTTGCAACAATCAAAAAGCGCCACCTCACAGCATGCTGGTTCATTGAGAAGGAAATAATTTTTCGGGTAGGATTTGATAATTATTTTTTTTAGAATCACTGCTCATATTGGCTTACATGAGCTGCATTCTTGAGTATTATTGGTCTTAAATTTCATTAGTGGAATAGTCTTTGTAAAATTCCTTTCTGTGATTTCAATGCTACTGTACATGTCATCAGCAAGTGCAATCAAGTTGTATTCAAGCAAAGGGAAACAAGCCAATTGGCCGGTCGCTGCAAGGCTGTTGGTGTGGGGATGAGTGCATGTTTTTGTTTAGGATTTGCAAATTACTCTTGCTGCAACATTAGAAGCCTGAAAAGGGAAAGCCTCCTTTTGTTTAATGAATTACTATATTGATTTGCAGAATGTGTACATTAGTGTATATGTGTACGTGTTTATAATGCATATTAGCCTTTGAATGCATTGCCAAATTTAACTCTAACATAATTGTATTTGAGAAGCCTCAAAGTGTCCGTGACAGCTAATAACTTCATTTGTAAAAAGCGCTTGTTTTTCATGAACAGCCTAAAAGTAAGTTGCAGAGTAAATTAAAGACCGTTATATTTCTGCCAATAACATGCTGGGTTGGGTAAGTGGCTTGCACACTTGGTCGGAATTTCCGTTCTTTTGCAGCAGCGCACCTGAACATGAAATAACATGCATTTGTTTTGTTTTTTTAAACTCTTCGGAAGGGTCATATTTTTTATTTTTTCTGAAGGTTCCTAATTTTTATAAAATGACTACATTTACACTTAACTATATTTTTTCAATTTTTTGTATTTTGTTTTTCTTTGTGCGAGTGGGTGAATTTCTGCTTTGATGAATTAATCGAATTAGCTTGCAATCCATTTAGGCAATTTCACAGAATAAAGTATTTTAGTAATCCAGATGTTGTGCTTAAAGTATATGAGGAGGCGTGGCGCCGAGCAGTAACGTCACACACCCGCATACCTGGAACTCGCGTTGGGTGGTGCAGTGGAGCGCGCTGTCTAGGAGAACTCCTGTGCCTCTGTCGATAAGCGGCACGAATCTAAATGGGCTTGGATTGATTATCTTATGCTTTTCCGGGCGTCAACCAGCCATTAGGCCCGTGGTGAACTGCGTGTTGTAGCCGGGAGGCGGCGGTGTTCTTCCCCTGCTGCGATCTGTCGCCGACCTACACGTCGACGTGCGGAGTTTCCGCGTCCCCCACGCGGAACAAGCCCAAATCCCGACATGTGGGGTAGTGTAGTGCATGTAAGTGTGTGCGAGGGAAGACGGGATAACAGTGAGTAAACGAATCTGTGGGCCGCATTCTTCTAAAAGATATGCGGGGAAGTTACCTGTGTACTGATTAATTCACGGGGAAAAAAATATACTCGTCAAAACTGTGGTTACTTTGAAGATGTTCACCCAGAGCGGAAACTGAACCATCATAACTAAATCCTTGGCCACATATGTCGCATATAGCTTGTAACGTGTTCTCCGAGACTTTAGGTAGTTCTACACCCATTGCGGCTTTCAAGGCATTCATGGTGAGAAAATAAAAATTGCGTTGTGTAAATAGTAATTGTAATATGGAGGTATTATTTTTCATTTATTTAAATAACCATTTAAATGTGTTTATAAATATAAAAATTATTATTGAAATAAATAAAGCGACATGATATCTGTGGCCCAACAATTTAGTAAACTCCTTTAGGAGGTCGTGCTTACTTGTGTATGATTCCTCACCTCGCCGAGGGCAGAGCTTGTGGTAGCCTTTTTCTTCTTTCTAATTTAAGGAAGGAAGGAAACTCTCTCCTCTTTTTAACTTGCGAATGCGTACTCGGAGGAAGATTTCTAACTTGTTGACCTACAACGTACCAACTACATCTAATAAGTAGGCAGTGAAAAAAACAACAACAGAAATTCCTTAAGATCTTTCCTCGATTTTTTGTTTCGATCCGCCAATGTCCTATTCCGTTTATTATGTGATAATTTCACAATCTTAAATGGAATCCCTTCTGATCTTCTGTATCAAAAACTCCAATGATACCGGCGTCATTAACGGCCGACCCGCGTAATACGAGGAGTTACATAATACGGGTACCCATAGGGAGTGGTTTGACCCGTTAAAATGCCCGCCAATGCGGAACCCGGTACCCTCACGACCAAAAACTCGTTAAACTCTCAAGATCTCTATCGTACAACGCTGTAGCGTCAGGTGCTCGCTGTTCAACTTTGGTACCATTATGAAGCTATTTTCACTTTTCAAACACTGAGTTTCGAAGTGCGGAATAATCACTTGGGTCTAGTTCGTGTATTTAAAATGCAAAGTGGGTTTATATATATAATTTAAAAAGACATGGATATTTCTACCCAACTAAATTTCGTTATTTTGCTTTATATGAAAGTCATGTTATGCTTCTGCATGTCATGTTGCTATTATTATCCAACCTATCGAGAGTCACTGTCGTGATCGGCTCAGTACTAGAAATTTGAATTTTCCGCCTCAATCAACTCAATACTGACCCGTCTTACAGTACAGGACCGGAAGTCGAAAACGTTTTTCATTTAAATTTCGGAATTATTTGGTAGAAATCCTGTAACGATAGCAAGTAAAAATGTAATAACCTTAGTATAAACAATGTTTAAATTAGTTTTTTTAACTTTTTTAAAACTCTTGTTGCATTGTTCACTCAAACTCGCTTGAAAATGCACTCTTTGTTTCTGCTTAATTGACGTGAGATGTATTGTGTTCGCCCCCATTTCCACTTAAATTCCAGGTTCGTAGACGCCATTTTAGTGCTATCTAAGTATGCTGAATAATGGGAATAAAAATTGGAAGTACTTTGAGAAAAATTGTGTTGAATTCAGAATTGGACAAAACGGTAAAATTGCACATAAAGGTTAATAATTATGTTTGAAGAAAAGACTATCAATTTGTTTCATGGTTTATTTATATGACGGTCTGTCTATCTGTCTGCGGGCCATCGGTCGCTTTGTCCGTTCGTCGGTCCGTTTGTCCGACCGGACCGTAGCTTTTCAGCGATACTCACGTCGATAGCGCCACAGTAGGTGCAGTAAGAGAAGGCGGTGCTGGTTACCTGAACTCTCCCAATAGCCCACCAGTTCCCGATATCCACCGACCTTTGGAGCAGGATTGGGCGCGGAACTTGTTCCCAAACCCACATACAGACGTCCGTCGAGGAATCTGAAAAAGGTTGCTTTAGATTGCTCTAGATTCCGGTGGTACTCGCGTCGATAGCGTCAAGGTAGATGCAGTGAGGAGACGTATTAGACTTCAGCCAATGAGCTTCAGGCACCAGTTTGCGTCACAATGGTAGCGGGTATTTTAAATGCAGCCAGTTACCAAAATAACCACCTGCATACAAGTCATTGACGTAGATATATGAAACATTTTTAATACTGCAACTTAATTTCAATTGGACCGTCATGTTTCTTTTCGTTAAATATTGTCACTTTATGCCACTTTCAAGATGTTTCTCAACGCTTCTTGCTCTTCATGCTGCTGCTGGGACTGGTGCGGCTTTTCAGACGAAGTGCCCGTGTTGTGGACACTTGATTTGTGACGCAAACTAGTGCTAGAACGAGTAAAAGTCGGTGCGCCCGAGTAGCCCCACCCGTATCTTTCCACTGGGGCTCAGCCGGCAGCAGCGGTTCGTATCCATTTGCGGTTAGAGCCCCTCTGCATTTGGAGAATCTCCGGTGTTCGGTTTCCGGCCAAGCTTTGCGAAACACGCCATTGGAACTGGCAATATGAACTTGAGAAACTGTGCTGTTTTTGTGTGCGTCCAAGAAACACTAGGGCGATTTTACCGAGTTTTAGTTGTGTTTTCATGGTTGTGTTAAATGACATGCATTATTGGAAAAAGTTTAGAAGATATCGTAGTTCTGTTGAAACAAAACAAACAAACAAAAACCTTTCACACAAATTCGAAAAAAAGCTTTTGACCGTGCAGAAATGCCGACCCAGCCCTTGGTTATTAAATTAAACAACAAATTTCCAAAAGAAACTGTTTACACCAGGCACATAATGGTGCCTAGTTATGTGATTTACAACTGGCTCTGGTCGCTTTTGTGTCAAAGCTCTTGTAAAAACATAAGTCAAGCCATAGACGCCGGAAAAAAGCTGTAAGGTCTCTTAAATTACACGATTCCGGAGAAACCCAAAGTAAGTTAAGGCTTTCTAAAAATCAGGTTATTTTTTTATTGTATCCAATTCAGTAAATTTTTGCGCCCCCCCCCCCCCCCCCC